CCAAGAGCATGGCACACAGGATATGACATCATCCTTTGATCTTGTACAGCTTTAATTGGAAACCGACTTCCTGTTTCTTATCCATGTGTGTATGTAGTATCTATGGTGTAACGTCATCCGCTTGCGACGGTGACTGTGGCTGCAATAAACTCTTCAGCAGTTCATAGGTACGAGCACCAATGACCGTGATAAAAATAGCTTTCTGGACATCACCATCTGTGATTCCATTGGCCTTGAAGTAGAACTGAAGTCGTTCTATGTAGGACGTCCACGAATCCTTAGTGGCGAGTCAAACGGTGACATTTTGCCATGCGTTGCCATCTGTGAAATGAGTGAAAAGGAGGTGACAAGTAGAAGATAAGTAGATAGATCTATAGTTCCAAATACCCTCGTCGCCAATGTTGTGACCGAAACGCGTGAAAGGCAACCACGGCAAAATTCTCAGAAGTATATTTTTACAATTTGAATAAAACTGAACAGAACATTTACAGAACTGGAAACAGATTAAAAGCATGCACTTATATAAACAGTTACTGATTACATAACAGAACATGAACATTAATTAACACATAGTTACATCATCATTGCATAATCATAAATCATAATAATAACAAAGAACTGAAATGCCTAGCAGTAAAGAAAGTAATAATAATAGAAATAATAATCACTATAATACATAATAATAATAATAATAATAATAATAATACTAATACAACGAAAGTAATAATCCTAACAATATAACAGTTTGGATTTAAGACTAGTCATCTCTCTCACTTCTATCACAATCCAGAGATTGTATCAGATCACATCAGTTCTAATACTTCTGAAAATTATTCCATTCTTCTTTTTCAACTCCTTTATGAATCACAGAGCCTAACATTATGTCGATTATTAGCACAATCCATCAACAACCATACACTGTGTCTGGATGGAATAAGCTTATCATTATCATTATTTGATTGGCTGTGTCTTAGTTATTCTATTAAATATTCCAACACAACATGGAATCATTTGCATTTAGACCTGGGACTTGTATCAAACCAGTCACTATCAGCCTTCACTGCTGGACTAACTAATACTAATTCACTACAGACCCAGTGTAAGAGTCTGGATGTAAAGTTATCTCAACAGAATGATGACTTTCTACAAAAATTTTTACAACCATCACTTCTATGCAACATTCAGGAGTGCTACTGTGAATTATTATATGGCCAATATGTTCCCTGTATTGTATTGTTACAGTTCCTCAATCTTCCTCAATTGAAGATACTGCACTTAAGAATGGACTATTCTACTATACCAACAATTGACATTATATGCTGCACAGAAAAGTGTACTGAACTTGAGAAATGTATTGAAATAAATTCAACACTAGAAGAAATGAAAATAGATTTTGATAGACAGGATAAAATTTCCATTGTCAGTGTCATTAAAGGAGTAACAAGGAATAAAACAATAAAATCATTAACACTAAAGCATTTTGCTTCTCTACCTGGTGGATTAATAGAGCAATTTCTAAAGGATAAGGACACATTACAAGCACTTTCACTAGACTTTTTATATCATTTCCTACCATCATCAAATATAGAGGTGAACACTCCACTAAATGCTCTAGAGGTAGGAGTTTGGTGTAATGCATCATCACTCCTTCAACATATCAAAGGATTAGACTGTCTGATACTATACAGTGTACCTTCTGTACTATACACCCCAAATGCCATATTTCTCTCTCATCCCAGTCTACATACACTTACTTTACCACTATACACAGCTGAGAGTGCTATTGAACTATTTAATAATCTAAAAACCAATATTAAACTTAAAGCTCTGAGAGTAACCATGCAGCATCGTTTTGACTATACCAGCAAACTGGGATATAGTCTACAAGAGATGCTAACAAGGAACCAATCATTGAAATATTTTGAAATTACTGATCTCCCTACCAGTTCATTCTTGTCCTTCCTAACTGGTATCAGTCACAATACCAGTCTACAGCAATTGCATGTTTCAATTCCATTTACTGACATAACCACATTTTTTGATGTCATCTCTCAAAAGAACAATCTAACAGAATTTGAACTTGATGTGTTCTTGACACAAAAACATTCTACTTTATTGTATGAACAAGTACTACCTGCTATTACTAACGTGTTACAGTCACATACAGCCATCAGACTATTAGGGATGCGTTGTGGTGTAACTTTTCAGGGCCCATCTGATACTAAGTGGATAGAAATGATACAAGATTTTTTGAAGCTATCTTTACACATCCATCACTTGAATATATTAAATTGTACCGCACTCATCATCTCCTGAGGGATACCTTTAAAGATCAAAAAAAGACATTGATTGATAGGCACAGAAAAGAACAACCACACAAACCACTACCGATAGTGATAATAGAATTGTAATTAGTGTATATGTGAGTTTATAGCAGATAGATTTAGTATTAATATAATAGTATCAATTTGAAAATTAATGAGTACATAATACTATTAACTAGCAGTAGTTAAGGGACTCTAGCTCACTATACATGCCCTGACATATATGTATCCATACGTATCATGTGTACATGTATAAAATGATCCACAGTACTTCACCAGAAAGGGCTCTCTAGATCCTGATTCACCAGGAACAGCAAAAATAAAATATTGCAACAATGAACATCTGGATTACAATTTGCATATAAAGAATGGATAGTACATTTCTATTGTGTATGCAAGTAGTAGGAGGCTAGTACTAGTATAGGCTAGTACTAGTATAAATCTCATTTTATTACATCAGAGAAAGACTATAGCACAGTTAATGAAATAGTAGGACTATAGCACACAAAAATTTATCTCCATGAACACATGACTATTGACAGACATGACACAGAATAATTTTGATTGATTTTTCGGATCAGCACATTCACATTACCGGTATCATTAATAAACAAGAGACCACACCCATTGGAAAAATCACCCCCTTTCAACATGTTCTTGGGGTAGTCTCAATGACTGTAGGCTGGGGAATGGTCTGGGCGGCGAGACTATTTTTGGGGTACAACAAAAATACGCTGGGGCAAGTATGGTTCCGCGAGTGAAGTAGTCTGGCCGCACGAGACTACGAGTGAAGTGGCAACATTAAAATTAAAACTGAGATCCTTCATTCTCCCTCAGTGAGCAAGAACCATATGCAGAAGTAAATTATTATTTTCATTGTTTAAAATTTTCTTTTGTTCAGTTATGGATGGGAACTCATATTAAAGGACCATCTATAGTATCCTACCCGCCATCAATAAATGGTCTCCAATTATCAAAATAGATACATGATAATCTGTCTTCTCTTGGTCAGAAAGTGGTCGATAAATTTGGACCAAACTTACTATTTCTCTTTAAAGTAAAGCGTCTATATATCAAATTGTTTTTTTTTAATTTTATTTTTAGGTACTTTCTATTAATAAGGCGTTATCAATCCAGGGCCATCCCAGTATCCCACTAAAGACCACGCCCATTCTCTTCACTCCAATTCCCCTCAGTATTATCCTGACTCTAATCATAAGCCAGAGCTTGTCATTGCTTTGAATAATTTTGAGGGATTGTGTGGTTTTAGACCTTTTGAAGAAATTAGGAACTTTGTCGTAAACGTACCAGAACTACAGACTGTACTAGGTAAGAACTGTGTACTGTAATGTGGGGTGGGACTTTTCAACTGTAGAATTGAGGTAGGTAATTCTGTTATTATCAATGGAATAAGTATTTTAGAAAGCATTTAATTTTCATTTACATATACATGTCGACTGTAAGGGGATGTAACTTGAATGATTTCATTGTTGCTCAAAAGCCATGTAGCAATTGATTGATCTTTGAAGAATCTACCAAGATAAAATCTACCATTCTATTTTTTCTCTCTCTCTCTCTCTCTCTCTCTCTTTCTTTTTAAAGGTGATGAAATTGTCCAACAGATGACTACTCCACTTTCCTCAGTTACATCAAATGATTTATTAAAGAATTCTTTTACTAAACTGATGAATCAGGACCAGTCAATAGTTGAACAGGAATTAGACAAACTGAGAGAAAGGCTCAAACAAGAAAAGAATGGTAAACATACACTTTATTGTTGCTGTAATGTTGCTAAATGAACCTTTGGATCTGCAGTTCTCTTATTAATATTGGAGACAAAAGTTAAAAATATTTGGCAGAAGTCCCTGTACAAGGTTATGCCAATTTTTTTCAAAATTGTATAGTGCTGTGGATAATTTGTGACTATTAAAATTTTGTTGTATGTAATTTGTTCTAAATTGAGCCATTATGCACATGCTCTATGTTATACTCATTACTGTTTACTGATGTTTCTCTGATGTACATGAAACAGCTCCTACTGATGAACAACAGAAATTCATTATTAAGAATTGGAACAAAGTAATAATTGATACTGAATGCTATACTGTGTATATACCAATAATTAATACTGAATGCTATACTGTGTATCTAGCAATGAATATCATTAATGGGCTGCCATGTTGGGGATACATAGATAAATGCAATACAATATAAATGATTTATCATTACATTATTATTATCAGTTACCTCCATTGATGTATGCGTGTGATTCATTAGGTGCTAGGTATAAGGACTCTCCTTCAGTGTAATTGTTCATTTTACATAGGCCAATAGCATCGTAAATTTTTATTATAGTAAAAATGCTGTAAAAATTTTGCTATATTTCTTTGCGTGATATGGAGGACTTCATAAGGGACAAGATCATAAATGAAAGTTGGACGCATTCTCGTCTCAGTCAGTTTCTTAAACTTAGGTATCCAAGCATTAGAGGCTTCAGTGTTCGTACACGCCTCATCATATAGCTCCGGCCTCACTAACAGAGTGGATTTCACCGCATTGGGCAAATACCCATAGGACTCACCCAATAAGTTGATCTTGTCCCACCAGTTCTTCAATCCTTTTACAGTGCCCATTCCTGTGGCGTCGTCGGCGTACCAGAGCTGTTTCACTTCTGATATTTTATCAAGTTCACTTTGGGTATTTTTCAAAAATTGGCTGTTTTTAAAAAAGTGGCCATAACTTGAAAAATTGAGGTTGGCATCGGCTCAAACTTTTTACACAGCATAAGGACATAATTATGTATCAGAAAATGTAATAAAAATTGGA